AAGATATACCCTTCACCGCGCTCCCGTCAGCGTCCACCTGCAGCTCCCTCGCTTCCCTTCACCGCCGCCGTCGAACGCACGTGATCCATCAGACGTCCAAGCATACGCAGGCACGCAAGGCTCACCGCAGGCCCTTGTGCAACTTGCGGTATCGCTTGCATCGAAATAAACCCATTACGGTATCTGTTTGCATCAACCTCTATCTATCCTCGTTATTATGCTCTCCCCTCCTTATCTCTCAATCATGCCACAAAGTACATATGATATTCCCCTTATCCACCCGCACATCCATCCATCGAGCTATCCTACCATTCAACTATCTATCCACCCATCCAGCTCATAAACCGTCTATCCACCCATTTATCCATTTACCTGAACATATACACAATCATCCACCTAAAATTATCCACCTACACAACCAACCCATCCAGCAAACTAATAAACCACCCACACAACCCACAACCAATTCATACATCCACCCACTCACCCATCCACCCAAACCAGCAATTCACCCATCCACCCTTCCAAACGACTCACCCACCTACCCATCCATCCACCCTTACACCCATCTACCCAATCTTTTCATCCACTTGTCCATACCAGCGCCCACCCCTCGCCACCCCACGCCCACGGCAGAAACTTCTGAATCCTCACCTGCCATTACTCTTTTAAGGGGGAGGAGAAGGAGGAGGAGGAGGAGGAGGAGGAGGAGGAGGAGGAGGAGGGAGGAGGAGGAGAGGAGGAGGAGGAACAGGAGTACGACGAGGAGGAGGAAGAGGAGAGGAGGAGGGCAGAGGAGGAGAAGGAAAGAGGAGGAGTAGGAGGAGGAGGGGAGAGGGAGGGAAGGGGTAGTAGGCAGAGGAGGAGGAGGAGGAGGAGGAGGAGGAGGAGGAGGAGGAGGAGGAGGAGGAGGAGGAGGAAGGAGGAGGAGGAGGGAAGGGGTAAGAGGAGGAGGGGGAAAGGAAGGAGGAGAAGATAACGGAGGACGGGGGAAGGAGGTGGAGGACGTAGAAAAGTAGAAAAAAGGAAGAAGAGGAAACGAGTAAGAGAATGTGTAAACGGATAAAGAGGAAGAATCGGACACAGAGGAAACAGGAGAAAAACGCAGATGGAGGGAAGGAAGGAGGAGGAGGGAAGGGAGGTCACCAACACACACATAACAATGCACCTTCGGCTTCTCCTCCGCCGCCAATTACGTGATTAGCGAAAATTCTGGAAGCCGCTGCCTTTATCCGGAGGTTCCCATCATCCGTCAACGTCTCCCCACACGTCGACCCCCTCCCCCACAATCATCCCCCATCTCCCCCCTAAAACCAAATCCATAGCCCCCACATACATCTCCTATCCACCCTCAAAAAAAAAAAAAAAAAAAAAAATCCCTAACCCCCACCCCACCTTAGAATTTCGATTTTCCGAGACACTGACACTTGAATAATTAAGGTTTGATCATCATCCTCATGTTCTAATAAAATATTCCTACCACCAACAATAGTAGCAACGTCAACAATGACAACAGCAGAGGAAGCGAAAGGGAAGGAAGGGTTCCCTTCTCTTTCCTCTCGTTTCTAATTCCCTTTCCTCTCGTCCCTTCATTCCCTCCTTTACCCTTCCCTTTCCCTACCTTCCCAACCCCTCCCCGTTCCCACCATTGCTTCCCAACCCACTCCTCCCTCCTTCCCACCTCCTCCCCCATTCCCATCATTGCTTCCGAACCCCTTTCCTTCCACTTCCCCTTTCCCTTCCCCTTCCTCCCTACCCCTCCCCCATTCCCACCATTGCATCCCTACCCCCTCTCTTCCCCTCCCCTCCCCTCCCCGTTCCCACCATTGCCTCCTAACCCCTTCCCCTCCCACCCCACCCCGCCCAACCCCCTCCTTACCTGTGGTGACCTTCCGGAGGTTCTCGGCGCCTTCCTTGATCTTGAGTTCCTTGCGAATCTCCTTCCGAATGTGCTCCCGCAGCTCCTCCAGCTTCTGCCCCAGCGTCGCCTCGCCGAAGTCCGCCTGCAGCCCATACTTGTGGGTCAGCTCCTGGATGATGGGCAGACCCTGGGGGAGACAAAGACGCGGTTAGGCTGCTTCTCCTCTGCGTTTCCTTCGCTTACATTTTCGTAAAAAAAAGGTGGAAGGGATGGAGCACGAAAGGAAGAAGGAAGTAAGACTAAAGATTTATTTATATGTTAATAAAATGAGAGGAAGGAACGAGGAGAAGAGAGTTAGAATAAGGATTCTCCCTCTCTCTCTCTCTCTCTCTCTCTCTCTCTCTCTCTCTCTCTCTCTCTCTCTCTCTCTCTCTCTCTCTCTCTCCTCTCTCTCTCTCTCTCTCTCACTCTCTCACTCTCACTCTCACTCTCACTCTCACTCTCACTCTCACTCTCATCTCACTCACTCTCACTCTCACTCTCTCACTCTCACTCTCACTCTCTCTTCTCACTCTCTCTCTCTCTCCTCTCTCGTTTCTTGTACTGCATCAAATAAGCAAATGAAAAAACATACAGGGGGAAGACATAAAGGGGGAGGAGAAGAAGAAAAAGAAGGGAGAGAACGACAAGTTAGAGGCCATTCTCTCGCTCATCTCCTTCGCTTAAATATTCGTAAAGAACGTACAAGAATGTTCTCTCTCTTCTTATTTTATCCAATTTTATCAAACCTATTATCTCCTTTTGATGGAGACAGATGAAACATTTTTTTAATGAACTGGATCCCAACAAAAAATACACAAGGAAGCGAACACATTAATACAAAGACAGATAATGGACGCCAATTATCTTAACTATAAATTACAAATACATAAACAGCCCAAATATAGCTAAAAAAACGAGGAAAAGTTTAAACGAAATTCACCCTCAAAGCGTTACACCTCAAAAAAAAAAAAAAGAAAACACACACACACCACACACGTAACTTTAAAAAAACAGCGAGAGACCAAAATTAAACCCACACTCATTAACGCTTATCACCATCATCAATTAAATAAATAAATAAAGAAAGACATCCAGAGACCACGGCGAAGGCAAGCATAACGCTCCCACATGACACAGCCCGAAAGAAGCCCAGCGAGTAATGAGCGGGATCCCGCCGCCCGCCGCCATTACTACATTATGATAATTCCTCCCCCGCCAGGCTGCCTCGGGATCGGAGATCGAGGGAGGAAGAAATCGAGAGAAACTGCCATCGGCTAATGCTCTGCGCGAAGACACTCGTGGGGCCTTTGAAGCAAGCTCGGCCAGCTTTTTCTTTCTTTCTTTCTTTCTTTCTTTCTTTCTTTCTTTCTTGCGTGCTTGCCGGATCAAAAATGACATCAAGTAAAATGAAGAAAAACGAAGAAAATAACTACCAGAAAAAAAGGAATTATACAGAAAACGTAAGTCAACCGAACTTTCAAAAAATATCAATAAAAAATAAAAAAAGAACCTAAACTAAGAAATCAAAACAATCTTCTCACTTCACCAAGAAACGGTTACAATCACGATCAAGCCGAACCGTTGCACAATATATAAAAACGGAAACTCAAGCAGCCATAATATCAACAATAACAAACCTCACTATGATTAAATAACATACACAAATATTATGAAACAAAATATAACGAAATCTCCATCCTTATCAATTCAAAAACGGAAAAAATAACGAAAGTCGAACCTCCAGACACGAGCGAAAGTCATCCAGTACGTTATATTGAATGACGTCACGCAGTCCGTACACGGTCAACCACAGCCAAGGTCTATATAAGTACATAAGTACTTATTTAGACCTTGGCCACAGTCGTGCTTGGAGGCGGCGTTAACCTCTATGAATGTGATATTCTCATGAGACCAATATAAAAGAAATGTTTAAGAATGTGCACGCGAGAGACAGCAAAAATGTTCCGCACTACAAATTCTTTTATTTTCCTATCGTATATTTCGCGTGTGTGAGAGTTCGAAAACACGTCTTCGAGAAATGAGATGACTTCGAAAGGGGGCGTTTGGATAATATACAGCGAAAATAGCAGATAAACAATACGAGGATGACAAGCGCAAACGACCCTCGCCATAAAGACTCCCTCCTCTCAAAGACCGCTTCTCACCACCACTCCCCCTCCTCGTTCCGCTCCCCGAACGAGAATGAGGAGAATAACAAAAATATGCAAGAGGCCTCAATAATGAAAAAATCCAATGTTAACAAGATAAAACAAAATAAAAAAATACGAAAACGTCGAATACCCCCCCCCCCCCCCCCCCGCCCTCGTCGCCGCCGAGCGGCCGGCGTCTCCGATAAACGGCGGGCGCAAAAGCCGTAATGGACCGCATTACCATACTCCACACAATAAATAACGGAAATCAACCCCGCCAGGCTGGACCGGGGGAGGGCGCCACATCGCTAACGACTCGCTCCTTGGGAGACGCCGGTCGTTGCGACGACCACGAAACCGGCCGCAGAGGACGTCGCCGTCAACGCGTCATCCTCTCCGGACGCAGGCCAGTCACGGCGAGAAAGCCCGGCCGCAATCGCGCCGGCCGGAGCCCCTTGGTGGCATTTCTTTTCACTGTCACTGCAAGAGAGCTCGTCCGCCAGCAGAAGTGGGTCAGGTCGTTGGATTTCTGTCTATATGTGAATATAAACATCTCCCAAGGAAAGACCTTCCAAATACATCTATCTATATACATATATATATTAACACACGCGCACGCGCACACACACACACACACACACACACAACACACACACACACACACACACACACACACACACACACACACACACTATACACATATACACACACACATACACACACACACACATACACACATATATACATATACACACACATACACACATATATACATATACACACACACACATATACATAAATATACACACACACACATACACACATACATATATACACGCACACATACATATACACACACATACACATTATATTATATTATATATATATATATATATATATATATATATATATATATATATATATAAAACTGCAGCACATTTCCCAAATATCTCATCTCCCGGAGTTATTCGACATCATCGCCAACACAAACATACATTTTCAACGCAATACATGAACATCCAATAAATCAAGACAAGAAAAAAACATCCAAGAGAGAGATCAAACCCCATAAAACTGCAACCGGATTCAATAAATCAACGCAACAAGGCGTTTTCGATCACTCCTGGCACGGTGTCACGTCCGCTCGTCAACACCTGCAACACGTCTGCAACACGTTTTTATTGTCTCCCGTCTATTTCTGCCGTTATTGCACATGCGTTCGTTCGCACCCTGCTCGCCCCTCTCTTCCCGTTACTCTTTCGCGTGCCTCTATGTATGTATGTATGCATGTATGTATGTATGTATGTATGTATGTATGTATGTATGTATGTATGTATGTATGTATGTATGTATGTATGTATGTATGTGTGTGTGTGTGTGTGTGTGTGTGTGGTTGTGGTGTGTGTTGTGTGTGTGTGTGTGTGTGTGTGTGTGTGTGTGTGTGTGTGTGTGTGTGTTGTGTTGTGTGTGTGTGTGTGTGTGTTGTGTGCGTGTGCGTGCGCGCGCGTGTGTAAGTGTATGTATGTAGTGTTGTGCATGTATGCGTATGTACATGTAATGCGTATGTATGCCATGTATGTATGTATGTATGTAGGTGTGCATGTATGCGTATGTATGTAGGTGTGCATGTATGCGTATGTATCTATGTACTTATGTATGTATGTATGCATGTACTTATGTGGAATTCATGTTGAACAGATTGCAACAGGAACAACGAAGGGAAGGGCAAGAAAACACACGAATATGCCGAAGGCCTTTTCACTATTGCTTCGTCAGGTGAAAAGGCCTTCGGCATATTCGTGTGTTTTCTTGCCCTTCCCTTCGTTGCTCCTGTTGCATGTACTTATGTATGTATGTATGTATGCATGTATGTATCTATATATGTAAGTAAGCAGGCAGGCAGGCAGGCAGATACGACTATACACAATTAAGTGTGCGAATTGACACGAAAATATTTCCCGGATGAATGCATAGCAAACGCCTTCATCCACGCAACCACCACGCACCAACCGTCACCCGCCTCCTCCCCTCATCCCCTCCCCCTCAAAAAAATCGCACCAATGCCCAGTACCACAGAGCATGACGGCGCCCTCCAACCGTGCCCATCGCCGCGCGCCCCTTGGCCAATGCCTGGTAACCCGAGACCGGAATACCCTGGCATGGCTGAGAGGCAGCAGAAGCAAAGCAAGCTACTCGGCGGCGGTGGCGGCGGCGGATACAGCTGCGGCTTCCGAGCAGCGCAGAGGGGACAAGGTTCAGAGGGAGAAACAAACACATTAAAGAAGGGTGTGAATCATTAAACCAATAAACGAGGAAATACGAGTAAGAATGGAGGGATGAATGAGTAAATGCGTGAATGGATAAGCAGAGTAAAATAAACATTTTAGTTTAGCTTTTAAAGTAGTTAAATCTTACGCCAGCTATCGAAACAAAAAATAATCACGCAAAGATCACGACAGGGTCGCGACAACACACACACACACACACACATACACATACACACGCACACGCACACACACACACAAAAAAAAATAAATAAATAAAAATAAATAATTTAGGCCGGTTGTCACCCCACCTTATCCTCACCTACATCCCCTTCCTAAAACTCCCCCTTACACCCGGCACCCCCCCTTACCCTTCCTCAGATCCGACTCGTACAGAGCGACAGACTCGGTACAGTGGCGCTACTGGGCACTGTTGACTTATCATTACGGGAAGGAAGTGAGGGAGTGTTATTTTTCAACGCGCTTTACCAAGTGCCAGTGTCAAGGCCCTTTTCAACAGAGCCGCTCTAATGCGCCTCTCTTCGGCCCTCCCCCTCCCCCCTTTCACTCCTTCTCCTATCCCCGTTTTCATTCCTTTGCCCTCTCCCCTCTTCCACCCTTTACATCTTTACTCCCTTCCCATCACACATCATATAACATGCATACCCGCGCACTGATACATGCACACAAACAGACACAAACACTCGCTCACACACAAACAGAAATAAAGC